CATTGCTATTAGGTTGGAGGCCATAGCTTCTAGATTGGAGGCCATTGCTACTAGGTTGGAGACCGTCGCTACTAGGGTGCAGGACATTACAATTAGGTTGGAGGCCATCACTAATAGGCTTAGGGCGGAGGCCATCACCACTAGGTTCGAGGCTATTGCTACTAGGGTGGAGGCCATCGCTACAAGAGTGGAGGCCATCGCTATTATATAGGTTCCTTTTGCTAGGTTGGAATTGTCCCGTCTTCGTCGTGAACCCAGCCGCCAGCTACTCGCCGAAGCAACTGGTTCGGCCGTCGCTCTTTCGTGGCCCGACCGGCCTTCACCCGATGCCAAGTCCACCGAAGCGAAGCCCCCACCGGTGCGGTGCAGCGAAGCCACCTCCCAAAGGAGCTTTTTTTCGAGTGGTGAGGACGGGGCCGTCGGGAGGAGCTGGGTTTGGGGATGTCTTGAGTACAAATACTAAAGCAGAAATGGTTGATTGTGGATGACTGCGTAGAATTAGACCGGAGTTTTTACTGACCACTGCCTTTTGACCGCTGCAACATATTGATTTTCACCTGCTTTAGCTAGGCATGACCCCCTTCAATTATGCAATTGACTGGGGATGGCCATGGTTTTGATTTTGATTGTTGATTCAGAGGAGAGGATGGGAGAGGGTCCACTATTGCTGTCCAGACTATCATACAATGACCTGGAAAAGGTCATGTTGACTCATCCGTCGTGCAGAGAATCCCAGCATCAGTTGCAAGGGCTTGGGCTTTCTATGGTTTCAATGTTTTTATATGTGTCAATGCAAATAATTGAAACGTAGCTGGTAGCGTGTGTGGTCACTTCTTTTGGAAGATGTTTTTTCGAAGTTGCCTTGGGGTATGTCTCGCAGAGGTGAAGCATGAGTCCCACACCCTTCGCATGGATGGCTCAAGGGTGGCACAGTCAGTGGCATGGTCTTTGTCTTAAAACAGATTCATACCAGTGCCATCTCTATCCCTCCCAAACTCTGTGCACCAATCATGTTTTACATTTTGCAAGTCAGAATCCTTTGCGGATGTGCGATTGAAATAAGCAACTTGAACAAAAAGCAACCACCACCTCCACCACCACAACAACAACAAACACATAGACAACAGCCACCACAACAACAGCTACTACTACTGCTACTACCACCACCATGACTACCACTACCGCTATTGCTACTACTACTACTACTACTAATAACAATACTACTACTGCTACTACTACTACTACTACTAATCACTACCACTACCACTACCACTACCACTACCACTACCACTACCACTACTACTACTACTACTACTACTACTACTAATCACTACTACTACTAGTAATCACTACTACTACTACTCCTACTACTACTACTACTAGTACTACTACTACTAATCACTACTACTACTACTACTCCTACTACTACTACTACTCCTACTACTACTACTACTGCTACTACTACTACTACTGCTCCTACAGTTCGCTTGCGTTCGCTTGAAACGTTTCTCCAATGCAGATGTGTTTGGATCACCAGTGACCGTCGTCCAAAAGGGGGGCGCCGTACTCCGGTGATCGCCCACCAAGCCGAAAGCGGCATCACGAGGCGGAACGGGTGGTCGGGGCAGAATGGAAGAGCTTATATGTTTTGATGATTTTCGTGGTGATTGCAGTGTGGTGAGCTTGTTTGCATATATATATATATATATTGCTTTTTTTTTGCAATGGGGCGCTTGGAGGAAGGGGAACAGGCACGAACGGAATGTCGGAATGTCCCACATTTCTGATTTGCTTTGGTCGTTCGTTGTGGGAAACTTTTCTCGCTTGGATTCCGTGACCTGCAGGAAGCTCTTCGTGCACCAGGTGCCCAAATGCGCCACGGAGGTGCTGCAGACCCTACCAGGCCGGAGGGAGAGATGTTCGACTGAGGCAAACATTCAAGCTTTGAAGTAGACTGCAACCTAGATTGAAACGACTCGCACTGACTGGGCTGGTCTGAATTCAATTGAATTTATCTTTACTTTAATTTTCGAGACAAATTTAGACCCCTGCGTGTGGCTACAGACACATTCTATTGCAACCAAAACTACTCAGGGGACAATGGCCCCCCTGGCTTTGGAGGAAGAGGCGCGGCACAAACCAACTTTGGAGACCTCTTCGGTACAAACACTGTTGGATCGGATTGTTATCACCTGATGGATCGGTTTTCCCAGAAGGGATCAACATTGTGGTGGCCCGATCCATGAAACCTGGTCCAATGGTTTGTCCCTGCATGTTTCCTCTTGCCGCTAAACTAGATGGTGATGCCTGTCGCTGATCTTCCAGGATTTAGGGTTTCAGGCCATCTACATGATCTCATTTGACCTTCCTTCCTCATGGGGCATTGCCAGCACAAACCAGAACTCCCATGTGTTTCGAGGGCTTGCCCCATCTTACTCCGTCCTGCAGACCAAATATCCAGGCCAATGCTTTATACCTGCGAAAGATGGCACAACAGCTACGACCTTTGCAGCCTGGTGTGTGTGTGTGTGAGTGTTTCTGTTATTTTTTTGGGTAGGGGGGCCAGGAATCAGGTCCGGAAAGGAGCTTTCGCAACAGGTACGGAAAGAGCACGGAACGGGTGAAAAAAGGGAGCTTTGAAGCACACCTTGGGTCGGTCCAGTCTGGACCTCCGGAATGAGATGGATGGAGGTGCACGGCTCTTTGAAAGACTAGGCTTTGGGCTGGACCTGATTCAGCATGTTCTTGCTGGATACTTGCATCTTGACTTGTATCAAGTATCAAATCAACATCTACATGAAAATCAAGGTTGGGAACTTATGACATCAAAACATTCAAGCCACCAATCACAAGAAAGGAACGCTAGAAACATCATATGATATTAGGACCTTCAAGTCGACTGAGGCTGCAGAACGAGAATAGAGTTAGAGAGTTCATGAAGACAAACAAATCGAGCATGTCCTGTCAACCATCTGCAGAGATGTACCATGGACCATGACATACCGACATACCCTCTGGAAAATATTTGTTTCACCTCGAGTTCTCTCGATTGCAGATGATACTATTTTTCAGACATACCGTCCCTGGGCAAGCTGCACTTTTGAGCCGAAGGCTTTACCACGTGGCAGCCAATGGTCTACCATCATGGCAAATCAACTATTAAGTCCGACCTGGTCGGATCTGCTCGGAATATGTATGTATGCAGTTATATGTATACATACGTATACGTAGTATACAACTATATATATATATTATATATAATATACACATACATGTTGGTCCGATCCCGTTAACTTGGAAGATTGACCGTTTGGGAAGTCCGCTGCTCCCCGCGAGCAGAGGCACGAGCAGATGATGTCTGGCCAGGGAGGCTTTGGCATCACCAAGGATCCAGAAGAGGCCTCGGATGGCCGGTGGTTTCTTTTGTGGGGGATCACACGGGATCACCTGACTCACGTGGCTTTTTGTGTTGAATCTCTTGCAATATCCTTCCTGTGAAAGGATGCCACTCGTAGTCACTAGCATGGATGTTGGATGTTGACTAAGTCCGTCCAACAGCAGAGTACCAGGTGAAGAGTTCCATGTTTGTTTTACTGCCACAGCTGGGCTTACTCGATCAGAAACTGTTGTTGAATATGTCATGAATTGTCATGATGTGGAGACCTGGTGGGAGGTTGATGCTAGCATTCCCTGAACTCGGTTCTAATCAGCTCAGCTTGGGCACACCCTGTTGGACCTTGGTATCTTTGGGTCACACCCAGCCCTCCTTTAGCATGCAGACCACCGGACCCTGGCGCCAGAATGGCTTTGTCAGGCGGACTTGTTTTACATCCCCGCCTTCTTCTCAGTTCTGTTTTGGATTGGAGATTTGCAGGCCATGTGTCAGCCATGGGGTCATTGGGATATGTTGTAGCCATTGGCTATCGGTGAAGCATTTGGGTCACTGCCGCACACTGCCTGGGTCACTGAGGCGTCTCTTGCTTTGGAGAGTTTATTTGGAAGTAGATTCCGAGTGGGTTCCATGTGGGTTTTGCCATGTGGACATTCTGAAATGCATTTGAAGTACGCTTGGCAGAATCTTGAGGGATGGTGGTTGAGACCAGGGTGATAATATCATCCCACTATCGACTTGCCTCCCAAATAACGGAGGCTACTAGGAACTACTAGGAACAAGAAGCTATTAGTAACAAAGGGCATCGCTACTAGGAGCAAGAAGCTACTACTGTAGGGGCTCCTGGCCTTGCTACTACGAACAAGAAGCTACTAGGAGCAAAGGGCATCGCTACTAGGAGCGAGGACGCTACTAGGGGCTCCTGGCCTTACTACTAGGAACAAGAAGCTACAACAAGCAAAGGGCATCGCTACTGGGAGCAAGGACGCTACTACAGTAGGGGCTCCTGGCCTTGCTACTAGGAACAAGAGGCGACTAGGAGCAAAGGGCATCGCTACTAGGAGCAAGGACGCTACTAGGGGCTTCTGGCCATACTACTAGGAACAAGAGGCTACTAGGAGCAAAGGGCATCGCTACTAGGAGCAAGGACGCTACTAGGGGCTCCTGGCCTTACTACTAGGAACAAGAGGCTACTAGGAGCAAAGGGCATCGCTACTGGGAGCAAGAAGTTACTGGGGCTCCTGGCCTTACTACTAGGAACAAGAAGCTACTAGGAGCAAAGGGCATCGCTACTCGGAGCAAGGACGCTACTAGGGGCTCCTGGCCTTACCACTAGGAACAAGAAGCTACTAGGATCAAAGGGCATCACTACTAGGGGCTCCTGGCCGTACTACTAGGAACAAGAGGTAACTAGGAGCAAAGGGCATCGCTACTGGGAGCAAGGACGCTACTAGGGGCTCCTGGCCTTACTACTAGGAACAAGAAGCTACTAGGAGCAAAGGGCATCGCTACTA